TTCTCTCTAAGATAAGAAATGATGGCACCTTCTAGACGTACAGATAAAGATTGGGTGAGAATACTGTGTAGTGTCGGAATAAGGTCCGAAGGCTCGATAGTCAGCAAACGAGGAAGGCTATAGTAAGGGCACCTCATCCCCGTGTACCTTTTTGAAGAACAAGGTTGGTGCAACTTTGTGCTCTTTCGAATCCAAAATCACGGGAAAGGAAGATCCGACAGATGATGTGGTTAAGAATTAGAAAAGTTATCCCCACTGGAATATATAATACATTATAAAGTCTATATCCTGAATTAGTTTTTATATCCTCTGCCTGTATCTGGCTTGATTTCCTGATCTACATCTCGCACTTCCACGATAACGTCATTGCGGACATGAATACTGCGGTCTTGTTTAGTATGAGAACTCCAACCCGATCCAGCACTCTGGCCCTTAATAGTTGTGTGGATACGATCGGGGTTCTTTGCGACATTCGGATCCAGGTCCGAGCTGTCCGGGATGCTCTCCTCGTCAGCGAGTTGATGGGTAGAGCTAGTCGCATCAGGCTCCTTCTCGCGTTTTGACCGTGACATCGCTGTCAGCTCGTGGCCATGAGTACCATAACTGAAAGGTTGCCCGCTGTAGCTGGCCATCGCATTGGAGCCGGCTATGAGGCGGAAGAGAGGTCGCAAGAGTGGAAGACAGGCTAGATATCACGATTGTCAGTACTGAAGATTGGGAACAGTTGGGAGTAGGGGGCCCTACACGAAACAATTGCTATGTTGCTCTCAACTGCGCCCCAGAGGAAGTTATAGCTATAATAATCGCGCGGGAGCTGGTCGCTGTTTAAATCGGCCACAAGAGAGTAGTATAGGACAAATACTGATGCGATACACACGCTATTGGGTCCAAATTAGCTTCGCAACGATCTCTCAATGTTCTGGCATGATGATACTCACATAGCGCCCAAAACAAACAAGGCAGCAACACCAAACTTTTGGCCCATTTTCAGGCGAAGCTTGAATACTTCAACGACAGGGAGAATGAGGATCACAATATCCATGACGAAGTGTGGGAGGACGGTGCCGAAGAAGACAACAGAGTCTGGGATATTGCAGGCGCCACCAGGTATTGTCTTATCCCAATATGCCGCGACTGGCCAACAACGAAATGTTATCATGAAGATACGTAAACAAATCCATGCCGCCGAAATCGACATCATAACAATTATAGGTATTCGAATGGCCGAGTGTTTGAAGATGCGCCAATATAAGGATAGCACGGTGAGTTTCGAGAAGCCAAGCGATATGCCGTACGAGTGCGAGCCGGCGAAAGAGAGCTTCCGCGACATTTCGAGAATGTGAGCTTTCGCTTCTGCGGTAACACTGCTCGGTATCGTTTTGCCGAGATACCAATCCGATGCCCCTGTGCAGCACTGGTTAGCTCTTGATAGAACATTCCTCCTCCTCTTCAAGGGATGGTTCGCTGGCTACTCACAGTATATGACAACGCTATTGTAGGCAATGACGCTCACCTTGGCACGATGTCAGTGGAATTCTTCGTTAGATGGGATAGTGGCGAGGTTCTTGCAACACTTACATATGACACAATGCAAAAGTAATCTTCATACCACCATGCCACCTTGGTCATCCTTCTTGCAATGACACGCCCTATCATTGCCAAAGTGGCGGCAGTGAAGCAAATGCCCACTGCCGCCAGTATCTGCCCGGTGAGTTCTGGCATGGCCAAGGACCTGAGCTCAAGAACTAGCCCGCCTCAAAGTGGGTGGTGTTTCGATTGTCCAGTCCGCGATGCAAACGGGACAGGACGACAACCGGAGGGATGAATAAGAATGAAGATCCCTCAGAGGGGGTCCCTTGCAATTATACATATACAACACATGGGAGCCGAGAGAACCCCAATGCTGTGCATCGATCAAACTTACTCGGGACAAGGATCCCCTGGTTCAGCCCGGGACCAGTAAGTCAAGTGTGAGGCCTCGTCGGGGGGTTAGACGAGATGCTGCTTGTGAAAGTGGGTTGACTAGCCTTTGATCATCACCCGTTGGTCCAATAATGGCTGCCTCTTCTTCCTCAGCCCATCCCCCATGGGGCAAAATGGGAGTCGAGCACTGTTGGCTGACCTAAAAGGGCTTGGTAAAAGAAAAGGAAGCCCATTCGAACACGACGGATATCGCTCAACGTCTGATGGTAGTGGATCTAGCACACAATCACCGACCAACACCGACCTCAGATGGCCTGGAGCCTCCCAGTAGCGTGACTCCGTAGCTTGTTATTGGGCATGTCATCATCACAACACTCCACTCTACCATCTGGGGAGTACGTTCCGAAGCTGATCTTGGCCCTTCTAAAATTTGAAGTGTGCAGCACTAGTGCCCACCCAACCCTCAATTTCACATGGGAAGCAGCAAAGTTCTAGAAGTGTTCCATGTCCGGGCAACAGAGCGCAACCATCCCTGTTGATCCGCACACACACACACACATCTTGACACCACCTCGGCTTAGGAGCCATCCCTTTTTCCAAATAGCACTAGCCCAAGGTGGCTGCATATCAATCTCGGCGATATTCGTAGGTTTACCAGTCAAAATTTTCTCATCAATTCACGATGGGCGATGCTCTGGTTCAACATCAGTTGCCCCAGATGACGGTGAGTTCTCGTCTCCGCTCGCCCACCCTCATCCTGGCTGGGATCCATTTTCCCCCTTACATCACACATGGGGTCGTTGATAAGACCGATCGATTGCTGAGAATTTTACAAATCGGTCCTGATCAGGCTTTGTGGCGTCGGATTCGTGCTAAACCTTAGCGATGGCCATGATTTAGATTAAGAACCGGCGCCACTAAGGTCGTGAGCAGATGTCCAAGCCGACACTGGCCGGGGCTTCTTTCATTGCTAGAGTAAAAGTTTTCTCAATAGGATGAGCGAGAACGCGGATTTTGCAAATTGGGTCTAGCCAGGGGAAGGGTATCTACAATTGATATCAAGATCTGGGCTGGGACAAGAATCAAGCTTGTAGCGCACCTTGGGCTTAACGATTAAGGATAGTGGCTGGTTCGCAGAAATCAACGCACCATACCAGTTCGTAAGGTAGTTGACAAATACCAAGAAATTACAATATCATGCCAGGGGCTGGACAAAGCATGAAGATGTCCACCCTGGTCTGAAGCATGAAGAGAAACGTAATAGAATACCCCAGCTTTTAGATAGTGTATATGATTGATATTGACGAGCCCGACGAGCCCGAGCCGCAGAGAGCCGCCAAATTAGCGGCATCACCAAAACATCTTGGTTCATAAACAAGATTGATGAACAAGCCTTCCTTCACGAGACGGCGCCAACTTTGGCTCCGCCCATGCAGTTGATCTGCACACCATCGAGCAGGCACAAGCTACGAGGCTAGCCATCGACTATTGACAACGCAAGGCGTATGTGGCGGAGGCAGACCAACTGAATCGGGCCGCTCGGCCTGAGTTGAAGACGCGAATTGCTTAGATGCAATCGGGACTAAGGTGATGTAGAATGTTTCTAGAACAATAGACTATAGAGCACCCGGCGAACATCATCCGGATCGTGAAATTTGATCCCTTCAATTTTATATCGATGTCATCTTTATTCACACACGCTCTTTCTCCTGTAGCTACGGTGGGAAATAGACCAAGTACTTATCATTAAATCAAATTATTCTACTATTTCTCTGTAGGCTTGCATATCACAGTTATTTTAGGGCGGTTTATCGACACGCCTTGCTGTTCACTATGCTGCTGGTTGCGCACGCCATGCCCGAGATGGAAGGGGGCCAGTTGGGTGGCCTGTTGAGAATATTGCACCATGAACGGAGCAGAAGATATCGCCTCATTATTGTTGATGCACCTATGAAATTATCGCTCTTGGGCAAGGTACCGGCATGAGGCGGTGAGCACTATGAAAGCATGGATGCTCGACAATGCGGGCTATCAAATGCTCAATACTGTCGTCAATTGAGCCCAGACGGTTACACAAATCTAGCGGACCAGAAAAATTGATCGATACAGTCAGATAAAATCAGGGATACGCGCTTCTGTCCGATCTCAATTACTAATTATCTGTGACTAAGATAATAATATTATTGCCAAGGACGGGGAAGACCTTTGGCTCCGCGCGTCGAGTGTTTAGCTCAACTGACCACACACGTCGGGCGAAGCCTTCATGTTTATCAACTCGGTTAATCGCCTCGCTGAATCGGGAAGCCCAGCAGCAATGATGCTCCCTGGCGTGTGTGTTGGCTGCAAGTGCCTGGAAGTGGAAGAACACGGAACACAACACGGCACAGCTGCCCCTGAAATGCAGGTTGCGCTGTGGGAGCTGTTCTTTCATCCACATTGAGGAAAGTAATGAGAAAGTAATGTTTTTTTTTTAATTGTTCATTGTCTTGATATTCTGCCACTGTTGTTTTGATTGTTTATTTGGTATTGTCGTTGGAAGACAATGTCGGCGGCCTGGGTGCCACGCTTTTTGTCCCGCACCTTGCCGTACGTACCGTCACTGTGCCTTGAACTTGAAACACGAGCTGCAGGCGGCACATCCACCAACAGTTTGGCCTCCATGGAGCCTCAGCCAATTGTTGGCGGCGCATGAAAATCCATGAGGTTTCCCCTCAAGCTCCCTCTTGGCCTCCTGAAGACTCATTTTCGTGGTATTTGGATGCCGTGTTCATGCTTCATCACGAATTCTGGCAAGAAGTCTTAGAAGGTTTTTCTCCCTTACATTCGTATCTTATTTTGGTGTGCTCGTCTGTGGTCATCAGCCCGAGCAGAACCCGCAGCACCACCTTTCGTCCTGTTGCCTGACTCGGACCCTAGTCAGCACTGCCTGGCCGAGAATATTGAATACAGACCCGCCTGGAACGCAGGGTCAGGGTCTCTGTGAGATCAGCTGAGGCACCAACAACTCACAGATCTCGCCATGCGAGGTTGCTAGAGTCGGAGTTTCTTCAAACACAGCGAATCTCAGACTCCAAGCAATGGCTGTCGCGGGGCTGCATTTCAATCGTGTGCACAAGTACCGGGCGGGCTCGAAGAATTGGCTGTCGAGACAATTTGGCATCGTGAATTTCCGGCACATTCTCGACCCGAGACTGTCGCTATCCACTGCGCTCGGGAGCATCAAGACCGTGGAAGAATGGACTGAGAAGAGCATCGAAATCCAACATGCCAGGAGTGAGGGGGAGGCAGGCGTCGGACTCGTAACGAAGAAACACGCTGGGAAAAAGTCAAACGAGGTCTGGCTTGAGGCGAAAGATGCCGAGGGCAGAACGCCTCTCGCGCTGGCTGCCTCGATCGGGCACGAATCTCTCGTCCGGCTGCTACTCGGCAAGGGAGCCGATATCGAGTCCAGAGATATGCTCGGCAGAACACCTTTGGCCTGGGCCGTCGAGTCCGGGCATGCGGCTGCTCTCCAGGTATTGATTGAGCACGGCGCCAACATTGAAGCTCAAGACCTGCCATTTGGTCGGACACCCTTGTCGCGGGCGGCCACGATCGGGCACATGGCAATCCTCCAAATTCTACTCGATAAGGGAGCAAACATCGAGGCCAAGGATTCGCTCAGCAGGACCCCGCTAGCACGGGCTGTGAAAATGGGGAACGAGGCCGTTGTTCAGCTGCTGGTCGACAAGGGCGCCAACATCGACGCCAGAGACCAGCACGGAAGGACACCACTCGCGCGTGCTGCTGACAGAGGACACGAGACCATCATCCAGATGCTGCTCGATAAAGGTGCCAGTATAGAAGCCAAAGATGAAGTCGGCAGGTCGGCACTGGCGCGGGCCGCCGAGCGAGGGCACGAAGCTGTTGTTTATATGCTCTTGGAGAGGGGTGCAAACATTGAGGCCAGGGACCAGATGGCCAGCATGACACCGCTCGCAAGGGCAGTTACGACAATGCACATGCCCGTTGTTCAGATGCTGCTCGATAACAACGCTGACATCGAAGCCAAAGACGCGCTTGGCAGAACACCACTTGCCTGGGCAGTGATCACAAGGCGAGAGGCCGTGGTCAAGGCGCTGGTTGAAAAGGGTGCCGACATCATGGCGATTGATCAAGACGGCCTGACGCCTCTGGCCTGGGCCAGCGGACAGGAGGCTATTGGTCACATTCTTTGCACCGAGAAGGCAAAGGGGGCTCTACCAAGGATACCTTGACCAAGTCAACTGCGTTTTATAGAGTTTGGGTTGGAGGTTTTGGGAACCCTTTGAATGGTTTTATGCTGGCTGTTTATGGCTTTAGGGTAGGCGGAAGCGACGAGGACACGATACTGCAATGAGTCACGAATTTCTTTTCTCTTTTTTTCTTCTTCTTTTTTCAAAAAAATATGTCAGTTACACCTGGACAATCAATAAATCTCCCGGTGACATTCCAGAATTGAGATACCTACCTTGCGCATGCGTGTCAGTCCATTGAATTGCTGTCGCTCTGCCTCGGGCAGTCGAGCACGTCGGGTAAGTAAGCGCACCTGCCAAATACCCTGAGTCCACTGGGGCGCGCCTGTAAATATCCTGCAGGTGTCGCGTGGGAATTTTAGCCATTGGCCCCTTCCTGTCCCCCGCAAATTCCATCAATCAGCAAATGCTGGGGTGAGCGAGGCCCCAATCATCGCAAGAGTCTTTGCAAAGCTGATATTGCCCAGGATGATGTTTCTGAGACTCTTGCCTGGCATCCCTAAACTACAAACCTTCGCTACTGGGGTCACCAAACGCGCCCTGGGGGCCAAATCCAGCTCAGGTCGCAGCGATGGACGAAGCCTCGGACCACATGGGCGCTGCGTCCACAGATGATTCGCCTGGCGATTCAGTAGGATCATCGATGCCGGTCCTCCAAGTAGCAAGTTGGGACGGAGTTTCCAGCAATGCCCCGTCGGTTACCAAGAGGCTGCAGGTGCCCAGAGCGTGCGATCGTTGCAAGCGACTCAGACGAGGATGCAGCGAGTACAGACCATGCAGGCGGTGCATTGAGTCTGGTCTTGCTAATGAATGCCGCACTCGTATGCCACAGCCTAGATTAGCATTGAATGCCTCAGTTCCGGCTCCCGGGCCTCAATTGGCAGAGCTGCTCTCCAGCCGTGTGATTGACTACTGTACCGAGCGGTTCTTCGACCGGTTGCACCCTACGATCCCCATCCTCACCGTCGATTACGTTGCCTCTCTCCGAGCTACGGCTGCATCGCCGGACGCTGGCCTGGAGAGCTTGTGTGTATTGGCAGGGATGGCTTGTCAGGTCTTGCTCCAGACCGAGGAGCCCGAGTCTCTGTTCCAGCAGGGCGTCATTCCCGACAAGAACCTCGCATTCGGTCGGCTGCTCCTGGAAATGCTCATCCCTACTTATCAAAACATGTCTCGAAGATCGCCCATCAGCTTGGAAACATGCCTGGTTTCCTTCTTCCTTTATGCTTGCGAGGCTGTACTCAGCCACCATGGCCGTTCGTTTAGATACCTGCGGGAGACTACCACTTTGATGATACTCTTCCGGCCCGAGGGCACGAATGACACCTCCCGTTTGATCATGGACCGTCTCTTTTGGGTGCTCCTAGTATCTGAAAGATCGCATGCTATCCGCTACAGACGTCCGGTTACTCTCCAAATTACGAAAGACTCGCCTAGTCTGGACTCCAGCGATCCGTCACTGGTCGGGTTCTGGAGTCTCGCGGCCTTGTTCCGACCTATTGACACATCATTCATCGCTTTGCTGAACAGGGAGGCTTTGATGATCTCGCCGTCGCCAGACTCACTGAATCGGGTGGAGCTGGAAGTCAACTCTGCACTGCGCTTGGACCCGGGTCTTCACGACACTCAGAAAGCTAACCTGAGGGTCACTCAGCTATGGCTACGGGTTATCATTTGGCAGTTACGCCTGCACCTCGGATACCTCGTGGAAGAGTCTCATCAGCGCAGCTTGACTTTTCGGTACCCAATTGACGTGGCTAGGGAGCTGGTGCTGTCTACGCGCGACCTGCCGACTTCGAGCTTCACCGTGCACGGCATGGGCATGACAGAAAAGCTCTTTGATGTGGCATCATCCCTAGTGGATGTCTTGGCTCGAATTCCTCTAACACCAACCTACCAGCGTGGCATTGAAATAGAGAGTTCACCAAAGGATGATCTGTCCTATTTGAGAAGCCTCATCAGCAGACTCCCAGGAGGCGCTGACGTGTACGATGATTTATTGGAGAAGCACATTCAGCAAACATTGCCCAGCCTTGAGATGGGAGGTATAGAGAGCCTCGCTATGGAAAATCTGGATTCACAGTGACGCTATTATCAAAACAGTGGTATTATCCTTTACTGTCCTCTGATACATATTAATATTACAACTGTTCCCTCCATCACTCATCATACTAAATTTTCTCCTCTTCCTGCACCTTAATCTTAGCGTCCGTTGCCTCCGCCCTGTACGGGTCAACATGTGTAGTGGCGAACTTCCTAGACGGGGTGCGCTGCTCAAACAGCATATCCAGCTCGGCGTACGTGCGTCCCTTTGGCTCTGGGAGCCTGAAGAAGACCCAAATGCACGACAGCAGACAGGTGCCGGCCCAGAAGAAGGCGGCGCGGGCACCCCAGTTCCAGGCCGTGGACGAGAGCTGGTAGTTGGTCATGACGTTGACGAAGATGTTGCTAGCATTGTACGCCGCGCGCGCGAGCACGATCGTCTTGGCCTTGAGCCGCGTGGAGGACAGCTCCGACACGAGCGAGTAGGTGACGGGCCCCACGGTGAAGTCGTACACGAAGGTGAACAGGATGAGCATGCCGCCGATGGCCCAGACGGAGGCGTTGGTCTTGGCGAATGACAGGGAGCCCACGATGATGAGGATGAGCAGCTGGGTGCAGAGACCGCTGAAATGGATGCTGCGGCGGCCGATCTTGGACATGAGGAACCACGAGCCCGCCGTGCCGACCATGCCCAGTGCCGAGTTGGCCATTGAGAGGGAGAAGGAGTTGCGGGTGTTCATGCCGGCTTGCGTCAGGAAGTAGCTGAAATAGCCCATCAGATTCTGGCCGCCCAGGGTTTGTACGGTCCAGATGCCCACCACGATCTCGGTGCGGCGGAGGTCGATTCCCCTGAAACAGTCCATGTAGGTCGTGCCGTCCTTGGCCCTGCGCTCCATTTCGTTGGTGTGCTCGATCATGGCGATGGTCTCGTCGGGATTGAAGCCGGGCTGGTCTTTGCTCGTGAGTCTCATGAGTGCCGCACGCGCTTCGTCGCGGCGACCTTTGCGGACATACCACCATGGGGATCTGTCCGTGTTAGATATGCCTGCAGGTCAACTCTAGGGGATCGATAATGCTTACTCTGGAGCAAACACAAGGCCTGAGAGGATCAGGACTGGCCACAGCCATTGCACGCCAAAGGGGATGCGGTAGGCACGCGAGTCTGTGAAGTCGACGGATCCACGGTTGACAGCAGCCGCGAAGAACTGGCCGATGACCCAGCACATGTTGATATATGTTGTGAGGAACGGGCGGAGGACCACTGGCGCAACTTCCGATGCGTACTGAGCAGCTACGCTCTGGAATGCGCCCCACGGGATGCCTGGCAAGGGTTCAATGTTAGCACTGGGAGCATCTCGCGACATCTGGCAGGCGACTTACCGCACAGAACCTCTCCAACAACAAGGACCTGGATGTTGGGGGCGAAGAACAGAGCAAAGATGGTGGCAATCATCATGACGAGGAAACCAATCGTGGTCATCTTGGATCCATATCGATCGGTGATCCAACCAGCGATAATCAGGCCGATGATCTCGCCCGCGCGAGCACCATTGGACAAGCCTGACTGCCACGCCGCCGAGATCTGATACTTGTTGTTGGCCTCGCTCCAGACGCCGTACTTCTTGTTGAAGACGGGCGACGCGTAGAGGTTGCCGAGCAGGGCCAGGTCGTAGCCCTCCATGACGAGGGTGCTGCTCACGAGCATCGACCACCCAATCGCCTTGGGGTAGGTCTTGACGGCCTGCCAGAAGGTCATTTCGTGCTCTGCGCGCGCGGCCTGGGCAGCCTCCGCGGCCAGGACGTCGGCTTGGATTGAGTCATGGCGCTCAGACACGGGCTGTGTATGGCCTGTTGCTGACTTTGTTGCTTCTTCAGCCATGCCGGTTAGAGGACTTTTGGAATAATAGAGGAAGGATGGTGTAGAGATGGATGGACTGGATGTAGCATGAAGCAGGGAATTGATACGGCCTGCGACAGCCTATTTATGCTTCTGCGATGAACCGAAAATTTCTCTTGAAGACGGCATCAAATGACTTGACGGTTACCGAGATAATAGTTTCTGATGTGGGGTAAACCTCCCTCTCCATCTTCCTGGCTCTAGTTTGACCCGGGGAGACCTGAGCCTGTTCGCTTTTCTCCAGTCAAACCGGTTAAAGCCATGCGATTTCTGGAGTTGGCGTTGCGGGGGGCGGCCTCATCAGCCATGTGATGGGAGTGAAGCTGCCTGTCATCACAGGAGACTCCGACTCTTTGAGGCAATGATCTCCACCTCTCGTAGGGGATTCAGGACGCTATTGGAGAAATTTGCACGGGGGAGCGGAGAGAACAGGAGTTTGGCGGGTCGAGGCGAGGTTTATGACGGAGTCTCCGCTTCATCCCTGTGGGCTTGGACCTTGGTCTGCCCGCCAACAGGAGCCTCCAATTCCCAAGGCTCTCATCGACATACGGTACGTACGATGGAGACGTTTTCGGGGTCCTGTAGTACGATTACTAACATATGAAGAGTTCCGCAAATTGCGGGCACATATTAGTTTTGAAGTCAGCCGACGTTTCGCTTTATTTCCTGTCAATTTGATCACGTTCTGTCTCTACGAGTTCTTCCCTCTCAACTTGGCTGTAAATTGGTGGAGGGGATTAGCTCACCGTTCTGCATCGCCGCGATGGGAGCAATTACATGGGAAAAACAGAATGGGTGGGCCAGCGAGCCTTACTGGAAAGATGCCACCATCTATCAAGTATATCCGGCCAGCTTCAAAGACTCGAATGGCGACGGCTGGGGCGATTTGCCAGGCCTCATCTCCAAGATCGACTACCTCCACGAGCTTGGGGTAGATGTGATCTGGGTGTCGCCTATTTTTGAGAGCCCCCAGAAGGATATGGGCTACGATGTGTCTGATTACCAGAAGATCTACGAGCCTTACGGTTCGATAGAGGATGTG